CGGTTGATCATCTACCAGCACAGTTCGTAGAGTGATTGTCGAAGAAATTGTTTAAGAATCAAATAAAATTAGTTCAATGTAATTATCTTATTTTAGTGTTATATACTGGATATGTTCGGCGCAGTAACATAGAGCGCTATAATTCCAATTTTTCAGACATAAATACGAATCTGCAGATGCAGATACGGGTAAATTAACATATTTTTAGTAAAAAAAAAAAATAATTTTAACAAAAAACATTCTTTGGGGTTTCGATTTAAAACCCATTTGCGTTCTGTAACAGCTTAATGAAATATTATTATTAAAAAAACATATTTTATAACCAAAATAAAAAAAAATCAATTGCGCATCTGGTATCACTGCCATATATAATTATGAATTTCATTAAGAATTAATAATGATTTTAGTGGTACTACTAATAGCATATAAGTGTAATGAAATGGTAAGGAATGGTTAGACTCTCCTACTATCGCAACATAAGCCATATTAGTAAATATTAAATGTAATATTGACGAAAGTATGTGCTTTTTCAAACAAAACTTAATTAACCAAATGCAGACTAAAGCGATTAGTAAGAGATATGATAAGACAAAAGGCAATTAAATTTTATATGTACCAGACAATATTAACTCAAAATAATTTTGTATATGTTATATTTGGATACTTGAAGGCATCATATTTGTTGTTTCTGCTTAATTTTAGTACTAAATTTATAAATTGATGTGGCGAAATTTAAAATTATTTTCAATTTATCTGATAATATATTTATTTTTTTATAAATTGTGGTTAATATATTGTGGTACTCGTATTTTATATGGATAATATTGTATTGTAGTTAATAGTTTTATTGTTTTAAATGCGCATACTTCAGATTATATGTATGGAGAAAAATGTATTTTATCAATACTTTTGTGCATTCTAAAATTGAAACATCGAACACAATAATGTAAAATTTGAAATATATAACTTTTAATATATTTACATTAAGTAAAATTTAGGAAATATGATAAGAGACATATTTTAATGGTGTCCAGACATAACTAAGAAAATCACTCATACGCTATGTGTCCCAAAATATACACTAAAAATGTGAATATCTTTTTGATATCATTTTCGGTGACTTGGTGGCACATAACTGGTCTTGTGTTAGCCATAATTTGACAAATATATGAAAAGAGACTATTGGTGATAAATATTGCACTTTTAGCAGCCAATATAATAGTGATAAGTGTGAAAATTTTCTTGATTTACAAATCTAAAACCAGATATTTTGACTCCAATTAAAACCACTAATCATGGATATTAATGTAATTTCCACGCAAAAAACATTTATAATCACATAGTTCCGTACTCATAGCAATCACAATTTATAACTTATATCACAACATTTTAATTTTTTAGAAAATACGCAGGATTGTTGGCACATATTTGATGGAAAATATACTTTCTACGGAATTACCATTTTTGTCGAAAGTTTTCCCAAATTTAAATATGCTCAATAGTTGTTAAACGATTCTTGAATGATAGTTTATTTGGACATCTGTCACTGAAACAATGCTCTTGAATCCGTGCCATGAAATGGATAATCCTTTACCTACACACATAATTTTGCTTTGAAATACCATGTTGAAAACCATGCAGCAAATTATTTTAAGCTCTGCATTTTTACACTAAAGTTTACTTAGGATTGTATTTATAAATACCTCATTTTTAACTTAAATAAAGCTTTAGTAACCTAACTTTTTTATTTTCAAATGGGTTTATTTTTTCCTTTGCATTTTTTATTAATTAAATGTTTTGCATTTTTTGTTTATTCACAAAAGCATAAAAAAATTAAATGAAAGTTTATGGTTTGATGAAGAGGAAAGAGGTACACTAAATTTTACTGCAGTGAAAGAAATGCTATTTAAAAATTATTATTTTCAAACCAAATTTTATTTAATTACTTTGAAAAAAAACAGCTTAAGAAAGGTTCAATTGCTGGATTACCTCAGATAAATTACTTAAACTTTTTTTTGAGACATTTTATAAAAAGTTTTAATAATTTTATGTCCCTGTTTAAAAGAAAAATTTTTAATTTGTTTAGGATTAGAAATTACGGAATCTTTACTAACAAATAAATTACTTATTCTTAAAATAAATTTTAATTACAATTTTCAATATCACTCATAAATTATTTAATATTTTAATGAAGTAAAAGTATCAGTATTCACATTTTTATATTTATACATTTTTGAATGAATTAAATTAATTAAGCTTATAATAATTAAAATGCTAAATTGACTTAAAATGACTCATTTAAAATATTTATTAAAAAAGTTAAATTTTTTTTATTTACATTATTTATTTGTGATAACAGTTTAACTGTTCACTCATCACTAAGTATAATTCTTACTGCAATATCGTAGCCAGAGATTACTATAACTCATAATTATCTAAGAAAGCATAACATTTGTTTATTCTCAAGAGGTTCTACCTTACACAAAAAAGTTATCTGTCACATATCTAACTACGGCACAACCCCGCATTCCTTTTTAAAACTGTGGTTAAAGAAATAATTTTAAATACATGGATTGCCCATTGAGGTGATAGATAAATGTGATAGATCGATTGTAAAGTAATAAAAATATATGTACTGACATAGTTTTTTTCAGCAACTGAAAATAGTGCAAAATATGTTCCGATTTTAAACGTAATATAATAATTGATATTAAACGAAACATTATTGATATTTTCATTAGAATTACTTTTTTATTAATTTTTTTATTCACAGTTTAGTGACCGTATTTATCGGAAATTAATTTAAAACTACTAAAAATGCTCTTATAATTTTCAACAAGGGACGTTATTTTGGGTTAAACAAACCCAGCAATAGTCCTACAAGGGTTAAATAGGAAAGTTTTTTCTGAAAATCTGTTGAAAAATTTGACAGCCACACAAAAAAAACGTAACTCCTGTTTTGATCCGTTAGTGGTATTTTATTTCTCACTGTAGTTCTCAACCCATCAGCAAGAGGTCTAGCCTTTAAATTGAAATGAAAAACATTTATAAGATATTTTATTTTATTTAGAATTTTAAAAATTTACCTTTGGCAGTTATTTTATTTAAATCTTTAGGTACTAGGAATTACATAAATATGAAGTCAGGTGTTTAAGTATAGTATTCTTAATTTTCAGCTTTCTTATTATTTTGTATTTTCATTTTTGAATTGGTTTGTTGATACAAAATGTATTTAATGCATTTTACACTTCATTTTCACTTCAAGTTTTATATAATATTAAGTATTAAATACAATTTTTGAAATATTTATATATTCTAAAAGATTTTCTGTAACTTATTTCTTTTGCTTTCTTAACACCAGTAATAATCACCCTTTTATTTACTTAAAACTTTACATTAATATATATTCTAATCTTGTGTAGTAACTTATCCAAACTAATGGATCAGTGTCTGTTGAAAATTCATTTACTAAAATGACCCTTTTTCACTCACCATTAAACTAACTGCGGTAATAAATCCTTCATACTCGTATATACCCACAGATACTCTTATCTCCGCATAACTTATTCATTTGCAATATCAAGCAACCCACAAAAACTTAAGATTATTATAAGTTGCCTATTGTGAGACAACACATATGTTGTTCCTTCCACTCCTAAATCTTCTTAAAGTTTTCGTTAGTTTTCTTTGCAGATTACAAAATGATTTCGGCGTTACATAAAAACAAAGAGTGGTTTCCTATACAAGTTGCCAAAGAAGTTTTTGCTTCAAAAATTGAATAAAAATTTAATTTATTTTATTTACAATATTTTCAAAATTTCATGAAATATATAAAATATAAATATTTTTCATTATTTACTTTTCTGTTGAATTAATATTTTAATTAAAAATTAAATTTTCATTTCTTTTTAATTTCAATAATCCATAAAATTCGCATTTAAGTACAACATCAACTAAAAACCAAATGAACCGAAATAAATAATAATATTATTTCATTTCAGATTATATTGATATAATAATTTGTTTAATTAGCAATACTTTATTTAATATTAACATATTAAATAATTTGCATTCTAAAATTGTTTTAGAGAAATATTAAAAAATTATTTTTTCGTAATAAATATTTTAATAGTGACAATCGCAGCAAATAAAAAAAATTATTTTAATTATTTTAAGGTTTCCGCAGTTTTTATCTTTACTAATACGATTTGTTGTAAAGTTATATTTTATCAATAAATCATTTTTTGATATTCTGAATTAAAACTAAAATACTTTGCATAGATTAAATCGACTATATCAATACTAACTGGCTGGCAGATGTTTAAAAAAACGATAGGTAAGTAGTAGCGCATTAATATT